AAGGCTGCATTAATTTCGGCGGGTTGAGGTGAGGGATGCAAAATATTGATCGGCTTCACATTGCACTCATCCCACTGACAATTTCACCGGTCACCCACCTGGCAATTCCTAGAATCGAACCTCAGCTTATCTGGGCCTAAAAGTACCTAAGTAAAATATCTTTTGTATTTCTACTAACTTTATAACTGCACTTCGCCTGCATGATGCAAAAAACAGCCTTTGTTACCCCCTGACCACTTAGCGTTCTAGATGTTTCAGTTTCTATAACAAAACTTAGGTACCTTGTATGTTGCCCAGGTGTAGGTATAAGCTGTACAACAAAAAATTTTCATTGAAATTGGTCCATTAGTTTTGGAGATAAGCGTGCGCAAACATACAAACAGATTTTTTTGTCCTAGGTAGTTACTTTTCTATGTTTGCTATAAAATTAATAGGCTCGTTAAATTACTAATTCACCTACAACCCAAGTACCGACATTGATACAACACTTCAAAAAACTTAAATTTATTTTTCAAGAGTTAGTTGTTAGTTTTTGTTTGTGCCGCTCAAAACTTCGGTGTTTTAAGAAAACAAGAAGAAAACGTTAATAGATTGGATAGATAGCTTTTGAGAAATTAATTTTATTCGATTAGGTATATCATTTCTAAACAGTGTTATAAGTCGTGTTTTATTTAATAAATTGTTTTGATTTTATATTACCTAAAATTTACTAAGATCTAGAGACTAAAATAATGCTACAACCAGCTACCGTAGCGTCATCTATGATTTGGCTTCGTACTGTTAGTTTGTTGAAAGCTTGGTTGCCCATAGCAACGGTCGCCGTCGCCATGCGCTGTACAGGGTGAGCAGTGTTTCTCGCCTCCGCTGTAATATTGATCGAATGACCTATGCTATAGAGGCTAACTACTTATAACATTATTGTTAGTATCGGCGTGGGTGGTAGGCAGATACTACAGAGAGGGGGAATATTTAGAATGAAAGTTTTGACGATGTATTTCAATTTTGTTTTATAAAATGAAAAAAATCTTTTCATTGTTGGCAACTCCCAAGTCTGTCCCTCCATCAACGGAATCTCGGATTCTCCCACCCTCCCAAATTCCCGAACGGGACCACAGACAGAGTCAGAGTACTTTTTTTGGTAAACGCAATACGCGAACGGGCATGTTCGTGGCTTTATCTGTGCAAACTCTGTTTTGTTTTGTATTTAGTATTATGTGACATTGACAGTACCTAACTATAGAGACGCGAATCTCAATCTTCACGTGATGGTAGAACATTTTATTTACCTACTTTTCATTACTTTTTGTTCCAATTTTAACGAGATAATGTAAATGTTACTTTGTTTATTATGGAAATTGAGTTTTTTGAATTTAGCTAGGAATGCTTTTGTTATGAGTACTTATGATCATGTTAGAATAGAAGATAACATAATAGTTTCGAAGCCAGCGGGTCCAAGAAAAATAAACCAATCTATAACTAGTAAATAGGACCTCCACAGGTAACATAGAGAAGTATCCATTTTGTTTATACAACATTATTTTCATTCTTATTTTCCCGGCCGCGGTGTTAATCAATCAATACAAGCTGCAATGCATCAACCCGCGGACGCTGCGCGCGCATTATACGCGACCGCGATCGCGATGTTTTGTTTAGTACTTACAATGCTACCAACATACCGAACCTAACTAGGTTACCTATTTAAATTGAGTATGACCTAACCCTTACGAACATTGAATACAAGCGCGTTCCAGCGCTCTCATATAATATGTTTTTGGAACATGTGTTTGTCTCTCCTACTCATACGAAAATTGTATCTTGCTTTCTCCTTTTTGATTTCATGCTAGAATTGACACAAACCTCTTCAGTATACATTCCAAACAAAATTCAACATGGCTTTACTTGAAGCTACTTCTAGTTAATGGCAGCGAGCGAATAATTTTACTGACTTTTTTGCATCAATAAATTACTTCTAGTCGGTGTAAATTACTGTAAAAATTCCATTTTGTCTCAAGTTTCAAACTAGTTTAACCGGGTTTATTTAAAATCTGTCGATTCTGTGTAATTACACATCGTTTTATCGTTCTTGCTAGGCGCAGGTGAGGTGATAAAAGATATCAGTTGTAAATTAAAGATGAATTAAACAATTGTTGCTGGGAATTTCTCCACCGATAAACGGATAATTTTACTCTTGGTAAATATAACTAGATGGAAGCTGTAAGTTATTCATTGTCATAAAATATTCACAGCATTATTCATTGGTGTTACACTTCAAACTGTATTGGCTCTTGCTTTGGAATATTAAATATTGCTTACTAAGTCCTAACATTGTATATAAATATTAAATTAGTACCATTCTCATCCTCACTCATGACAAAACTGTTTGAAGACATGTCATAAGCAGATAAAACCTCTCAACTAAGTTTTAAAGGTGAATAAACTACACCAATAAGTGTCTATGATGTACAATATTCTCTATTACTACGAATATTTATCAGTCTTTACAGTACAATGCCAAAGGCCATCTACAAAATGTAAATTATGGATTGTAAATATTGCATTATTGATTTTTTGGTCTTCCAGTTGGAACTATAAAAATATATTAAACTCTTGCTAATAAGCTAGGTAAAAATGAATTGAATTAGTGAAGAAATTAACTAATAGAAATATGTAGTAATATCACTTTATGGAAAATAAGCAATAAAGGTAATATTCAAGGTGGAACTTGCATGAACCATAATAACAACAACAATACTCCATACTAGGTTACCTACAAGTTAAGTCAAAGTTAAATGGACTATAACAGCACTTGAGAATGTTAAACTATAAATAAAAACATTCCGCATTGAGTAAAAATAAGATTATCTGTGGGTGGTCCCTAAGAGAAAGTAAAAATGTCTCCCACTGACAGTAAGTTCCCCTATGGACTGTAAACATAACCCTTTTCATCAATATTCAGGACAGTACCTAGTTCTCAGTGTCATAGCTACTTTAAACTCTTTAAAAAAATAAGGATCCTAATATTAGATCTTAAAATAAATAATAGAGATAGGTAGGTTTATCCCGACAATTCTTCAAAATTGCTTCAGTAATTTTTGTGAAAAGATAGATTCAAAGTGACACTTTGGCATATAATTTAATAATAATAAAGAGGTTAAATTAGGTTCTGAACAACAATTTAGTATATTTAGTCTGGTCTGGTAAAATTTGCAGAAAATTTTCTGTAATGGTGGATATTGGAAAAACAAAGTAAAGATAACTTTTCTAGATTATTAATTATATTATGTATTTTCAATTCTTGTCAGAATTTTTACCTGAATGTTTTTCATAAAAATTAAATCATAATTTTTCCCATGTGAAATATTTTTTCCACATGAAATTAATAGGAATTTTACATAGTTTCATTATAAGTTATTGTTAAAATACAGGAATATTCTTAGTTTTTGTGCTAACTTGACCAGACTAATTGCAAAATAACATTCCACTTTAATAATTAATATGTCCATAGTAATTATTAAATAATAATTATGGATTAACTATTAAATCCCCAAGCGGTCACCGATGACCGCTCTCCACTAACTCTATTATAGACCTTATTTCAGAAGTTCAGAGACTACTTTTGTATGAACGAATTTTGGGGATTTTCATTTCATATGATAATATCAACATTAATATCGATGTATTAAGTACTATGACATCAAATTATGTTATCTTGACTAAATATGAACTCGGTTTTCATGCATACTATACATATTATAGGTACATATACTTGTATTTGTTAGCTATCTGCTTATCAGGTTCACATTTAAATGTAAATAACATTAGATATTGTAGTATTTAATTTGTAGATAATGTTAATTAGTATTTGAAACTATATTTACACTAATGTTACCACTTCATTTACTAAACATGAAAATTACAATGAGCGTGGTTTGTGGCATTAGGATCACCCCCTATTACATGGATCTCAAACGTAACTGGCATTGGAAATTATATTCTATAACTGCACATTTACTTACCTCTTCAAGAACTAAAAGGTGTGATGTTATAATAAGTATATTTTTAATGAAATAAAGTTGTTTATATCTTTGACTACGAATGAGCATAATGTAATATACTGTATTATACACGAACACACTTCTTTAAAATATGTCAAATCGAATTGATAATTACTAAATTATGCTACAAAGTTACAAAAGAGTCGTTGTTTACTAACAAAAATGATAAAAACAACAAAAATTTTTTGCTAAATAAAGTAACAGAAAAGTTGTGAAATGATGTAATACTAAAGTACTTATAGAACTTTAGTACTCCCCCTTTTGTATGGTTTCGTCTTTGTAATTGGGTTTGTAGGTCGAACATTGTTCTTTATAAACAAAGTATGGGAGTATACCACGCACTGAAAATAAGTTTACATCTTACATAAATGACATAAAATTTATACATACTTCAATATTAGATATAGCTATAGGTTTGGACTGCTTGTTAGTATATGTTAATATTTTAGATGTTTCTCACACCTTAATGCATGCTATATAATGATTATGGGCCTGTCTATAATAATTATTATCAACCTATTGTAATAGGTCTCAGTACATTCCCATGTGTGTGTCTGCCTATGTCAATACCTACATCATAACGTTCTACTAACAACGGGCTAATAGTTAAGTCTAATTTCTTAAATTATAGTTATATATCATTTGTAGCTGAATAAAGTAACACTATGGTAGTCAAGCGAGAGCTTAATTCAATTTGAAGTGTTAGAGACATTCATTGCTAGTGCATATGTTTGATCATTGTTACACACATCATTTGTGTTTGGCATCTAAACCATCTTAAGCTTCCATAGGTTCAAATTACCTGGTGATGTATTCGGTTCAGCACATTTACAAATTAATACATTGCTATTTCATGACCTGGTCATTGAAATGTTGTTCCTTTTGTAAACTGGTGTACAAGTATAAAGGTTTTGTAGGTTTTAAGTCAATAATGAGGAGTACACAATGAAGGAGATGGTAGGAGGCTGCTGCGTGTGCTCTGACGAGCGGGGTTGGCCCGACAACCCGCTTGTCTACTGTGACGGAAATGGCTGCACTGTTGCAGTTCATCAAGGTATACTAGTTTCAAGAGTTGATGTCTAGCTGTGGCTAGGAACTGATCAAGGCATCAACAAATATTTTGTTAATATTCATTTTGTTGGTCGTTTTAAGTTGTTCAGAGTTTTATCTAGATTGAAATGTTTTCAGCATGCTACGGTATTGTCACAGTGCCAACAGGTCCATGGTTTTGTCGGAAATGTGAAAGCCCAGAAACGAAAAATAAAGTTGTAAGTGTGGTCATACTTTGGCGTTATTCGTGAGGACTGTTATTCTAAATATAGTTTATTTTTTTTGTTTCCAGCGCTGCGAGTTATGCCCGTCTAAGTCTGGGGCTTTGAAGAGGTCTGACACTGGTGGGTGGGCTCACGTGGTGTGTGCGCTGTACATCCCTGAGGTCAGATTCGGCAATGTGACGTCTATGGAACCTATTGTCCTGCGCTTGATTCCACCAGAGAGATATAATAAGGTATGATCATACATTTCTTTTCTTGTATACAGTCAGACGCTCATGTTTCTGCCAGTTGGTTAAACATTAAACTGAACACGATTGATGTGTATGTGCATAATATCATCATTTTGTGTCCATAATTCCATATCAATGTGTGCACTGGATCTTTGTATAATATTTAGTTGTATTATTATTTAATATTAATTATGTATTTTATATGTTTCAGACGTGTTACATCTGCCAAGATTTGGGTAAGACACACCGCGCGAATGCCGGTGCTTGCATGCAGTGCAACAAATCAGGTAACTTTCATTACCTACTTTCCTTTTCTATACCTTCTGTAAACATAGAAAAATGAAATACAAATCGCCATCCATTTCAAACATCATGTCAAATATTGAATATTCTCATTCGTTACGTCTTCTTACTAAAAATATACAGTGAAATGATAAAATACATACAACGGTAAGGTCAAAAAACTGCCGACAGACAGAGGAGTCGTTTCTGTGTATCGTTTTGTGTATTCCTACCATCAAATCTTATAAATCCAAGGTCCCACACTTGGGTAACTTGAAGCTTAGCATCCCGGGTTCCCTTAATCGAATCTATAATGATACTAGAATACCTCTGCTCAAGTTTCTATAAAACTCGCAATTTTATTATGATTAACAAATATTATCTCTTTTCTTCTAAGGTTGCAAACAGCAGTTCCACGTGACCTGTGCACAAGGCTTAGGCCTCCTTTGTGAGGAAGCTGGCAATTATTTGGACAATGTAAAGTACTGCGGCTACTGCCAACATCACTACAGTAAACTGGTGAGTTCAAATTTGAATAGTCCCTTTATCAAAGTCAAAATCAAATAACAATTCAAGTCAATGTAGGCCAAACATTCCAAGCAATTTTTGATCTAACATGAATGCTGTTGCTGGTCACAACCTAACGCTGCTTTTGTATTCTAATATCAAATATGGTATGGTACTAATGTATTTGTTGTATGATGTGAAATATGTATTATGTATCTGTGTGTGTGTGTATGTTGTGATGTGTGCTTATTGAGGTTCTGAAAACTGTTTGCAAAGTACTGAGTCGATTCGTTTATCGATTTTTGTAGGATTATCACAGCGGATATTATCTATATTTGATAATGATATACCTAAGATCATCAACAAAAAAAAACCGATGAAGTACCTACCATTCCCTGTCAAATGCACTTCGATGTCATTAGCATTGTCTGTATAATCTGTGTAATTAATATAACACTAAACCCTGTCAGTGTTCACTCGTGTCATTTAGATTATACACCTTCATAAGACAGTCTCCGAACGTTCTGAAGACTGGCGCCTGTTACTGGAAAAATGAGCACCGTACAGTTGTGCAATAACACCGCATACCATAAACCAGCGAAATGTTTAAAAAGAAATGGCGCATTATCTGTGCAAGTAATGTGCGCCAGCATTTAGATGACTTGGTTCGATCTTCAGAGCTGATTATTGTGTTGAGTACGCGTTTAATGTCTAACATTTTCACTTTGTCATTTTGTTATCATGTTGGCCTTACAGCACTTAATTACTGCGATACATCGCCACCAAGTGTGCATGAAAATTGATTTATTCATTCATTATCATTTTTTTAGTTCACCAATCATGATGTCACCATCATCGCCAAGGTACTAAAACTATTTCATTATATAAACAATTGGAAGTCAATTCTAGTTTTGAGTAGAATAGAGTAGTGTTCATGTCTACAATGCTTAAAGGTTAATCAATTATTGAATACAAATATCCTGTTTCATAGTGGTTAGTGTGCACTCGTTATATTGGACATCAAAATTATAGCCGGTGTTAATGAGCTGTGTGTGATACGGTGCCGAACGTTAACTGTGCAGAAAAAGGGCGGTAACGTAAAGACGATCCCGCCGTACAAGCCGGTGTCGCACGATAGTCAGTCGAGCGACTCGAGCTGCGAGAAGGAGGGCGAACCCTCATGCTCGCCCAAGACTGGCGGCGGCGTGACACCGACACACGCTGGCAAGTCCAAAGGGGTACGTACGTCTCAAGGCTGCCACCACTGCCATCCACCACGACTCTGTAGCCACCACCACCTTCCATCCAGCTCATTACTGTAATACTCTATGTTAAATGCTTGTGCTTTCACGATCACCGTTTCGGACCGGCGTTTCAAAATTTAATCTGAAACTGCTTCTCTTTGTTTCTTGATAATGTAAAAAGAATGAAATGAAATGACTAAGTGAATGACAAAATCCATGAAAAATATTGGAACAGATGTTAATATTTCGTAATTTTAATCAACCCAATTTGAGGTCCGTTAATAACACTGTTATTATTATGGAAATTAAATATTTTTTAATAATAATATACTTGGTGTTAAATTCTCATTTATTATATGGCATACAGCAGTCGGACTGTAAATGTTTATAAAAATGTAGAATTGCAAATTATCTAGGTTTATATTTTTATTATTTGCACCAGAGTGCTTTCTCTTCGATAGCTCCCCGAATGTTCGTATATCTGTTTATTTGTGTGTTCATAGCCGGGACGTAAGTCATCGCATGCAACAAATACCGTGGTCTCAGGAAAGAACACTCCAAACGCATCAAAAACTCCGAATCAAAACCAAATAATGGGTAAGTAAAAAACAAGTGCTTCCATAGATAATGAATCAAGTTTAAAAAAGTATATAATATAGCCCTTATTATATTATGGTAGTTTAAAAAGTTGTCCAGTAATCTTGTGTAAATAAAATATGCTATGATAGACCCAAGATGACTACTTTTTTTGTGGAGTCAACTAATGTTGTGTTTTTTTTTCGAAATGCCTAACAAATGTCTATATTTTTGACATTACCAACTGTGCCTAATCATATATTTCCACTTCTCGCGAAATGTAAGCTATATTTAAATATTTTATATTGTAACTGTAATTTTTCCTGGTTGACATCTAACGCAATCTCTTAATTAACTAAGTTAAATTAAGAGGTTTTAAGAATGTCAATATCAAATATAAAGATTCACAATTTACCGACTTGTTATTTCCGCATTCATCTAATGATATTTAGATGTTTGACATTTCTGACTAGGTGTTCAGAATAATGTCTAATCTACAACTATCCTATACAGTAAAAAAATCTGATTTAAAAGAAAAAAATTATCAATAAATGTTTGTTAAATGTAAACTAATGGTATTCGTAATTTTTCGCTCGTGTCATCTGCAGAAATGTCGCAAGATATCACAGAATCGGGTCCGGTCACTCGAAAACACAAGGCTTCTGAGAAAAGTTCGTTTTTTAACGTTCATGTTGTCGCATGTTAGCTCTTGCATCGATGTTCCTTATCAAAAACGTCTTGTGAAAGGGTCTGTAAGGAATAACTCCTTGTCCACATTATAAAATAATCGTCCTAATTTCAAGAATCCATTCTTAATTAAAAGGTAATTAAAACACACAATGTTTGGCTCTGGAATAAGTCATTACAGCTTTAGATTAATCTATAATACAACAAGATTCTAAACAATATCCTGCTTACATACAGATAAAAAATGCAGCTCATTTACTGAACGAAAAAAAAAGAATTTGTAAGCTATAATAAAGTCCAATATTGATACTATTGCTATGTCTGTTTGCTATTGTAATTACGTAATCAATAAAAGTGCTATGCATACCCCTGTAAAGTACAGCCAGGGTGCATAAAACACAGAAACGTATCATTACATCGATTGTTTTGCCGCTATTTCAATAAATAATTTGTCCCGTAAGCAAGGAGTTACTTATTACGGAATAGCCCTTTGATATGCAAAGCTGATTGTTTGATGTTAGTGTTCCTTTAGCGTTTATCGTAGAAAGTCGACATGATGGAGGTGTAGCTTTCGGTTTTATGGTTATTTCTAATAATATACGGATAGGTAAGTGACAGCCTGCTTTTATACATGTATTGTCGAGTATATGTTTACTTTATGCATGTTTATGTACTTGTATGTATGTGTATATAGACGTTTATGATGAAGTGGAGGTTTGTTTCGAGGATGAATGGTTTTCTATTGGTTGGGTGTTGCAAAAGGATTAAAAGGTAATGGTATCGCATAGATATGTGAATGCTAGTTCTTGTCGTTATGTTTGCGTTGTGCATGTGCTCGTTTGTTAAGTTGTAGTCAACGTAAAACAATGGTATTTAGGTGGCAAATTGCATCATTCGTCAGACAAGAAGAAACCGTCGCCGTCCCGCCGGGGGTCGTCTGCTGGAGACGGTGGTTCCAGTAGTAAGACCAGTACCCCGGCACCGTCGCCGCAGCACACGACTGAGACTGCAGCAGCTCAACCCAAAGGTAATTTATTAAACTATCTTGAATAGGTGATTTGTATTGGCTGCTTACTCCATGAGGTGCACGGTTGAGTGTAAAGTTAATAGCGAATTTTTGCTAATTTTGTAATAAGTTTCTTATAATTCAATAATGCCTATTAGTGAATTGCCCTCCTGCGTATTGAATTACGTTTAAACGAATTGTTTACTAGTAACAATAACCAAGTACATAAAAAGTTCTTACTAGGCACTAAAACTGCAAAGAACACAGTCATTTATCGCGAACCAAAGTCTGTGGACATTCTTATCTTTATGGGATACCTGACACTGAAACTCATGTTGCAGTCAGTCTCCATAAGGCATTACTCCTTATCTTAATTATTATTCTACCAGTCACAAATGAGGTCACAATCTTAATCTAAGAAAAAGTTGGTATCAAAGGCTGTATGCCAGTGCCCTGTAGTGTTTAAAGGTTGGCTACCTAGTGTATCAAGTTATTGTTTTCTTTAGTCACCGATCTATAACAGTGTCTTAAAAAATATGTTTTATTGTGGTATTTGTCAACATAACAAATTACACTGTAAGTTGGAGTAACAAGTGTGAAAAAGATATTTAAAATGAATAAACTAACACAGAATACCTTACATCGAACGATATGTTTGTTTTGTCCTTACACATACGATATACAGCTTATTATACCTGGCTTAGTACTTGTACAAAACAAAGAGGCGTAACGCCCTGATCATTGTTACAGCGTCAGGCAGCTCTACGCCGGCAGTTCCGCCGAAGGTGACGCCTCCAGCGGCATCACCCAGCGCCAACAAACCAGTAGAACCAGTGGGAGTCATCAGCTCAGTAGCACAGGCAGTAGCCTCCGTGTCTACCATCACTACCAATCCAACTAGGTAAGTTTAATTTATATAATTCTTGAATTAATAAAAAAAACGTAAGAACTTGAATGTGAGTCTACATACAATTGTGATTCACAATATACTGGATCTGAAACTGACACAATAGACTGGATTGTAAACACAACAAGAGTTGTATCAAAATATATGCACCTAGGTACAAATGTCTATTCCATTTTGACAAACTTTTTCTTCCCCAGTGCTCCAGTGCCTGCATCAGTGGTGCAGGTACCAACTTCAAAGCCGACATACCAGGAATCGGTGATCACTAATACAGATTTAGTGGAGACCAAACAAACGAAGAAGAGGAAGGCAATCGCAGCTGCTAACAACATGAACGCACCAGTCGATTATACTAATAACAGTACACCACCTGTTGGGGTAAGATTGTTTTATATACTTATTATTTGTATAAAGTATATTTATGTTATTTTTAAAACTTTGTCTGGTACCAAAAGTCAGTAAAAGTGTACTGGAAATCCGGTTTTGCATAAATAATGAGTTTGATCTATGTATTTCACGATTTCTTCATTACTATAATTCATTAATAGCCGTACCACACTGTCTTGATCGGGACAAGGTTTTATAAATAATCGTAGAAGTACAATTAGATATGGTCTGTAGCTAAATTTAAAGTAGAAACTGCATTATAAGCTCGGTTTTTATACATTAGATAGTAGTGAAATATAGATACCTAATAGTTTTGATATGATTTAGGCGGGTGAAGGCACTTCTCAACCCGGAGGAGTTTGGGAGGCCACTCACGTGCCACCAGATGTACCGCTGGAAAATGTTGACAAAATTATTAAGAAGGTATCAATATCATAGCATACATCATCATTCATTCACCATTATGTCTTGATAAACTAGTAGTTTTAGCTCTATTGTTTAATTGACTAGTTATTTAGAGGCGTGCTGTATTTATGTAGAATGTGTGATATTTTGTGTCTTCTCTATATACAAACTACCGCTTGCTAGCTAAGCTAGTAATCCGGGAAACAATTTGATTTAGCTTGCGTATCGTTTCTAAGTGTTCTAAATGAGAATTGATAGTAAATAAACCCACGTTCCTAATATAGTTATAATCTAGTAAATAGCATAATGTTATGAGTTGCAGCCGCAGTTCAGCAGTTGTATTAGTAGTATATTAATATTCATGTTGCGGAGCTTTTCTCTGAAATCATTTCATTATTTCAACATTTATATTTAAGTTTATTGTTTTAAAATGTAATAAATACGTAAGACAATTATTCTACACAGGCTAAGACGGAAGGTCTAGAAGCGATTCCAGTGCCGACGTCTCACTTCGCGAGCGTGAGTCCCGCGCCTCCACCACCTCCGCCGCCACCGGCACATAGCCCGGCCTCTAATCCGAGTCCAAGGTATATGATAATATTTATTAACAATATAAATAAAGGCATGTTTATTCTATGAATAGGTAAACTACAAAAAAGCTAAATAAGTTCAGATTCTCTTTCCGTTTTCTTTGAAAATCGCTCAAAACAAACACAAGAATATTTTAGTGGTAGCTCAGAAAAGGATAGGTTTACTTTGCAAAACAATAACCGTAAATATATTTAAAAAACAAATGTGTTTGGTGGCTAAAAATCATAGCTTCATTTAGTCTCAACCTGTTTCCGTTCTTTGTGTGACATGAACCTCTCTAAAAGCTTGCCATTGATATGTATACTGAGTTTTTTACAACAGCCTAAAAATTCAGAATTAATTTTCAATTTTATCAACTACATTGCTACAACAATAAGTCTATTCAAAATAAATTAGACAGAACTTAAATATTGTCTATAATCAAAAGTAAATGATAGTTGTTTCCCCCATATTGACATGTTTACTTTGTTGTGAAACAATATAGTCATTAAATTGATTATGTGCTGTAATTATAAGTTCCATAGTTAGTGGGGAACATCCCCTTCATAACCAACCCTCTTTATTTATAAAACAATATGTCAATAATGTATGGACAATGCATTCGGTAAGTTGCCAAATGACTACCTTGTTAGTTCACTAGTCGCAAGGACAGCAGCTGAGCCATTACTTTCTGGTTCGATTCCCAAGTCGTAGAAAGTGTTATTAGGCATTTCCATAAACATAACATGACATCACGCCTTTTATCCCCGAAGGTGTATGGTAAGGTACACAGAGGTTACGACAGCTGATGCCAACTGTAGAATGTAACACCCACTTTTTACTACTTATTAGTCCCATTGACTCCGTGCTACTATGGACATTTTTTTTTAAATTTTTCCGTGTTTCGCACTTGTAATCACTCGGCCAACGAGGCAGCGTGTGGCGGCGAACAAGCAGGGCCATTTCCAGTTTTTCGATCATTAACATGCCTACTGGAAAGTTTTGTATAATATGTGTAGCATCTATTTCGGGGAAATAAATTACGTGGGTTGTAAATAGCTTAACAAAATGTTTGATAAAGATTTTCTAATCTCAGTTTCAATCTAAACGCCCTTTTTTGGTACTATCATTTGGGAGATCCTAAAGGAGATGGTATGAAGCGTGAATTCTAACCCAGCATATATTTGTTACTAAAGAATAGTCGGTAGTCCTCTGTACTTTGTCACGGAGAATCTAACGGGTTACCGGGGCTCCGGCTCGAAGTGCAGGAGAAGGAACGGGGTGGTTTTTAGTCAGTAAGAGTCTGACACTCCCTCCCGCCTCACCTAGGCGGGAGGATCCATTCGATGATTATTCCCCCTTAAAAAAATCCTCTGTACTTTGCCACAAGAGACAAAAATATGTATATTCTACGTATGTATGCACCTTCTTCATGACTATTTTGTTTATCCAGGCACCTGCCTAGTCCAATGCCGGGGCCGAGTGGAATGAACCAAGTATCAAACATTCGCTCGCCATCGAACCCACAGGTCAGTAAGAAAAGCTTTAAAATATATAAAAATATTCATTTATATCATATACCTCAAATATACTTACAGTTTCAGAAAATATCATATTTTACCTATTGACTAAAAATACATATTCATTCGTATATAATTTAAATTACATTCGAGTAACTAAAATAAGCTTCGCTTTTTGACGAATGCCTTTGTGTGCTTCAATATCGCTTCAAAATAACCAATATTTAAAAAATACGCCTTAAAACTGTAAAATTAGGTACCTACTGCTGATTTACCAAAAAGTTATTATACCCATCCTTTATATTTTATGTCAAAAATATTTCGAATACATTCGCATTGCTATATCATACGTAATGATTTAGAATACCATTGTCTACTGTATAGCAGATGTAAGATGGATTTCCCGCTGGAGATCCAAATAATTTTGTTTGTCATTCTCATTACCATGTTACATTGTCTCCAAGTGCACTGAATGCACGAGGAAAAACTAAAAAAAAAGCGCTTCAAAGGCTATGTGAAAGTGGAAACACTTAGTTAGGGCTAAATGTAATTTATCAATATCGAACCGCATCGCATGCAACCACGGAGTATTACACAAACGGAAGTGCACAATTCTAGTAAACGACGACTGGTGTGTCAGTCATAGTATAAATCCCGGCGCGGACGATGACCAGATCTTGTCGTAGGTAGTGGGGTTTAGTACGCGCATTGTGTATTTGTGGTTATTGCCATCTTTCCGTTTTAATCATGTCTGATTGGTAGACAGTTAACTTGATCAAGAAAATGATTTTGGGTTAATAATGAAATCTTCATATAAAAATATCTTATAATTATTATATTTTATAAAGCTGAAGAGTTTGTTTGTTTAAACGCGTTTATCTCAGGAATTACTAGTTCCAATTGATTTTTTTTTTGTGGTGGATAGTTCATTCGTCGAGATAGGCTGTAGGCTATAAAATAGGAGCAGCGGGGGCGCTATAAAATGAAATTGCGCGGGAGTAATTAGTGAAAAAATACAAAACACAATCCACGAACTTACCACAACCACGATTAGGGTATCGTTCGTGCTGGGAATTATAGGTGTTATTCTTAACTAATCATTATGTTTACTCACTTACTCTGTAACTGTTGGACCAGAAACTCTACCAGTTCTTATGAATATGAGCCTAGTCTTGAAACTAGTGACGAGGGCCTCGTCAAAAACAGTTACGTGAGTTAACCGGTGAATGTAGTAATTAAATTTGTAGGTATCATGAAAGTTATAATAATGAAAGTGTTATCACTTTGTGAGTAGTCCGTGCATGTAACAGTAGGCGTCCCACAGCGTACTAATGCGTGGGTTGTGTAGGGCGGCAAGGGCGATCGCGAGGGGCCTGCATCGCTTCTCGTGTCGGTGCCGTTGCCCTCCACGAGCCACGGGCTCAACCTCACAGCGCACTCACAGGTTCATAACTAACTCATGGACACACAACTGTCGCTAAAACATAACTTTAGTCACTACATTGTATTAAACAAAATCGCTTTTTCCTGTTTGTGTGTCTTGAATGAGCTGTAAGGTTTTTTAAAATATTAAATGTATTGAGAGGCAGGTTTATTATGTAAAATAACATTTTGTAAATAAAGTTTACAATAAATTAGCTGCACTCTTGCATATTATATTCAGTCTTTGAATATTTTTTTGCCTCCGTCCAGTTGATTTTTTTAAGTAGGGCATCAGTAAACTGCGGCTACGTTGGCAAATATCATTGATTGCATGAGTGATCACTTCGATTAATGCAAATAAAAAATACATGAAAAGATTTCGTTTACATTTTTTTTAACAAAACAGCAATTTCATAGTTAAATAGGTACCTAATATATTGTTACATTTGAGGAAACTGATACATTTTTGTCCTCATCGTCGTGCCATATTTACGAGCCTAGTGAGGTATGAACAATAAGCATTATCAGTATTATAAGTTACGTTATACTTGGTAGTTGTTGTTTATGCATTTTCCTATTCTGATTTTATTTATCCTCCCAGTGTAACTTCAAATATATATTTGAAGTACCTATATAATGGTTTATAGAATCATGGGACATATTTCTGAATGGTTTGTCTATTCAGTATTGAATTATTACAATGGACCAGGGTTATAAATGTACTAATTGGGTAGGTGTACTTGTAACGATACTGCATCCTGCTTGTGTACTTCAAAGTGAGTGTTGTAGGTTACGACAATTGACTGATTAAAAACTGTTACGTCATATAAAACGGAACTGAGAGTGTAATCATTTGATGACAGTTGTGTGTTCACCGAGACATGCTTAGTTACAACTACCTACTAACAACGACTGCTTATCCGTGTGCGACGTACCATCAAATTAGGAGATGCATGGTCTCCTTACGGAGCAAAGAAAGCTTAGCTTGCGCAGAAATTGGAGCTGGTAAAAATATATTAAAAATAATAAGTAAAATCAAGTATATTCAGCTTCTTATATTATTAAATTCATGTTGTCTCAATGTCTGTATGTGTTGTTATCTAATAAAGCGCGGAATAACTAACTAGTCTTTTTCCTTTAGGTACAAAATGAAATGCCAGGTCCTTCGCCGCATATTTTCCACCAGCCTCAAAAACAAGTCAGTGTAAGTATCTAATATATTAATGTTTTATGAAGGTATTAAGTGAATCTTTCATGATATGAAAAAAAACTAATGTAAATAACTTTAATGTGTAAAATGGACTGACACAGTAACAAAGACTTAAGTAGGTATCCTATAACTTGCTAAAATTAATATGACGCCTTTTGATAAATGTTGCTAACACAGCACTTACAATACCCATTTAAAAGAGGTAAATCGTCATGCGTCTGTAAAGTACAGAAGTCAACAAAAATATTCCAATGGTAATCAATATAACGGCACTAATAATAGAAATAGACAAAACAGCGTTACATATTATATCTTAGTTTCATTTTTCTATTTTGCTAATTAGTAATGTAATTTGAGAACATGTTTGTGTCCTCTTTTAGATATTGTTTTGTTATATGAAATACTATCTATCAACATTAATAACATTGTTGTTCTTTTTTCGATAAATTAATGATGATAGATCGATTACAGCCTCATTAGTTAGAACATAATTTTTCAAAGAGAATATTACTGTTCATTTCCAAATACTTTTAGTATCAACAGTTGTTAATGGAGGTCGCAATTAGATTAATAAATAGATGTTGTGTCGTGGTGGCCAGGAGGTTTAAGACGCCCGCTTCTCATGAATGAGGGGGTCGGTTCGAAACCTACCAACGGCTAGTACCAATGTGACTTTTTCCGAGTTATATGTACTTTCTTATTATTTAGACACCACTGACAAACGGTGAAGGAAAACATCGTGACGAAATCTGGACTTATAGTTCGTAATTATAAATTTGTAATCACCAATCCGCATTGAGCAAGCGTGGTGATTAATGCTCAAACCTTCTCCTTGTGAGAAGAGTATTTGCTCAGCAGTCGGCATTTATAGGCTATTGATGATGATAACTTTAGAAAAAAGGAACGTTGTACATCTGTTAGGGCGTTAGGGGACATGCAGGCATGATCTTGGTACTTACAATACAATAGTATTCGCGAAACAAAGATTTTTTTTAAACAGATGTTATTGTATCTACGAGTAAGTAATTACTATAATAACAGTGTAGGGACCCTGTGCTATAGACTTGTCACATGCAATTTTCCTTAGAACAGTCACCAGTGCGTCAAGACAGGCAATTTGGTATCAATGAAGTCGTTACGGGACAGAATGCGTAAATTGCATAGTACGTTAGTTTATTGTATACGTCTTCACAGTCAGTGAATGTTTTGTGGTGTAGAGCAAGTATGTGAAACAGCGTTTTTTTTTAAATATTATTTTATATCTGTTCTAAAATATCAATCAAAATCTTTTTTAAAATATATTTTTGCCGTTCAAGGTTTTGAGATTGAGACAAAGGTAATTTATCATAAGTACTGTTCATGTGCAACCTCTTTTTACTCGTGTGTATAAACTAAAATAATTATAAGAGAAATTGGTTAACTATATTTTTGTCTATGTCCGTCTTCATTAAAGTCCAATCTTGATCAATTTTACTAGGGTACCTTAAGGTAAATTATTATTACAGAAGTAACATAATATTCACAATTGTTAGTTAGCAAAACATCGGTTAGAGAATGGTATTTAATAATATTATGGAATCAATTATACAACAATTATTATAAATTAGCAAATAGCAACCTTAGGAGATATAAAATTCTCAGTACACCGTTGTAAAGAATTAGAAAAAGAAAAATTATTGTATTGTACTTTTTAATTTGACTTAAAAGTTGCCAACACTGGATCATTTCGTGGTAGGTAGGACATTCAGATTGTATCCGTAAGGAAACTGAATCCATAGCAGTTGCTAGGCCGTCAGTTGATTCCGGTAACGAACAAATATTTGTACGATCTGCAGAATATTTATTCCGGGACTGGGTGTGATGTGTATGTGAAAGTGTTTATAAAAACCCTCGGTAGAAAAGGATAATATTAATGAGTCTGCTGCTTGCCTATTCATTACAACAGGAATAAAAATAATGACGTCACAATATTTAATTAAACGCTATATTTATTTATAGTGGTGTATAGAGTGTCGTTACCATGATACGAGACCTTATAGAATCGAACATAATATTAAAAAAATCTAGAAAAGTAACATTAACTTTAAAGCGGCTATAAAAAGTATGATGGCAAAAACACAATAGAAGTGCCAGACACAGTTGACTTTTTAAAAGACAGGGGTGTATATAAAGAATGTAAAGAACTAGCTAACAATAAACTTGTCTACACAATGTACACAACTGCCACTAATGTGCTGTAGGGCCCGAAATATGGGTCCAACAATCACACAGAAATAGCAATAATAATTTCTGTAAACGAGTTTCTTACTATCCCTATTTTTATCTTCCAACCTTCCCTGTCTGTTCTGCACTTAAGAATTATCCGTTACATTTTCTTTGAATTAAAAATATTAATAAAACGAAAACTTGTTTATAAAGTAAATGAAATGAAAAAATATTTGATGAACACTATCAGATTTAAAAAAAGAGAACTCGACTTTACCAAATTCGCTAGAAAAGGATATTCTTAGAAATTTGGTGCGTGTCTAAGCACCCTAGCGAAGATTAACATTGCCATTTTGTACCTGCTCCCAACCCCTCGGCCTACCTGCTCTATAGTCGGTTCGTAGTAGGGCCCACCACATGGGCACGTCCACGTTTCATTCAGTTATCAAACGACGCTTGGTAAGACCACATTTGCCAGTACTCTCGGTTCTCGCAGCTAACAATGATGTGTTTGACGCGATAATCGTAAATTAAAGGGACAACAAAAAGCGTGTGTATGTGAGTTTACTTGCATATGTGTGTACTGTGCCGTATCTCTATGAACACGTGTGCTTCTCCCGCGGTTTTGTGAATTTGCTCGTTTATAGATATTGTGTTTAGATTGTGATTTTTACTCGTGAATAGTTTTCGTGTTAACTAATTTAATTATTATTATCTAGTGTCACGCTATTTAATTATTTAGTATTCAAAGACTGTTGTAATTGCCAGTTTTGTTCAGAAAGCAGTGAATGGTTTAGACACAGTACTATTAACGGAAATATGATTATTATAAAATGGAAATGTGAGTATGTCTTAATAATCAAAATGTATAATAAATAGCACGCTCTACATTCCTTCGCTATTCATAGCTACCGCAAAGAATTTACTTTAAAAACGTTTCAGTTTTGTTGAAGTTTAAAAGGCTTGGAAAATTAAATTTTATTAAACTATTTGCACTGTATAGTAAAATAATAATTCCATGAAATACTAACGTATTAATAATACTGTAATATAGGTAGGTATAAGTGGTGGTGGTCAATTAAAAATAATGTTTAAATATCATTTTGTCCTGTTTGTTCTTGCCACGACTGTCAAATAAAACAATTCGTCCGGCCAAATCGATGTGACCTATTTCACAATGTGTAATAAACTGCAAAGATTTATATTTTGTTTTATATCAACGACATACAATTACAACTTATTTATGATAGCCGCGTCTAAATGGGACCGACGAACACATGTGGACAGATGCGAGAATACATACATAACATCCAAACCAACGAGTTATAAGTTATATTTTACAAATGATAATAGCCGGCTTTATAGCGTTTATTCGTTAAATATTATTAGTTGTTTTTATCTATTAGGGCCTTCGTGTATATGTAGTGTTCTATATTAATATTAAATTTTTGTCGCCTATTTTCAATATCAATAAACAAACATCTTTTACACAAAAATAAATATTTAACAAATATTTGTACAGTCAGCAGACATATGGTCTGGCTGGAAGAGAATGCTCATGACATTAAGACCATCTTTGTACATAACTAATTATGTGCATGAAATCTGTTAAAATTAAAAAACTAATTGAATACCACTAGGCTGAGAAAGAGTCTGCCTGTGTAACTTTTTGTGTGCATAAAATTATGAAATAAACCATTAATAAAAATTATCGAGGATGATCAACATCGAAATAAATATCTGCGATGGTATCGCCGATATGACTATCGTGCGATTCTTTGAACTGCTTTAATGTGTATATCAAAAGTAGTGTATTAATATTTTGAATAAATTGATTTCAGACGCCTATGGACACTGGCATGACAGGGCATTCACCACATGCTATGCCCGGGCGCTCCTGGGGAGGTCTTAACGTAGCATATGAGTTACAAGATCCAAATAAACCAGGGTAAGTATACTACAGACCCTTGTACAGTCAGTCACATATACAAAACATGTTAATAATAAAATGAAATTCACTAAAGAATATTTTTTAAATGTATTTTGATTTTTATGAAGTGTGCACATATTTTTGTATGTGACTGTACTGGTAGATGTATCTATATGTATTATTTTTGTATAAGTAATTATAAGTGTACTGTGTTTTTTCTAAGCTATGCGCTTACCAACATACTTTCTTGTTATAAATACTCACAGAGTTATGTAGAAACATGAAAAAAACTTTACATTGTTTGAAAATAACAATTATTATTGTTAATATATATAAATATTGTTTGGAGTTTTAAAGATATGCTAAGCAGTTTAGAGCGCCAATGTTATAGCTATAGCCCCATGCCCCATTATTACTAAGCTAAGCATCATCGCAGGCTAGCGCTAAAAAATAAATAAATACATAATAAGTAGAAACCTCTATAAAAATTCACCACCCTGTTTCTACTTGAATACATAAATTCTACAAGACTTATTCTTCAAAAACACCTTAACTTGATACAAAACAAATCAGAAAACATAAAATTTTCACATTATAATGCCCTGTTTGTGCCGTTTTTCGAATAAATTTAAAAAATGTCTGCCATGTTTTCATGTAAAGCGAATATATGTTTAAATCACTACAAAATAGCGAATGTTTTGTTTGCGTCAATGCTAAATTTATAAAGATCTATTCTATACAAACATTTTTTATTTATCTCTATGTAATGGGCACAGCGTTTATATTAAATAGTCGTTATTACAAATGATACAGACAATACTTATTAATATTGTTGAAGTTGTAATGAGATTCAGTGAAATTCTCAAGCTTAGCGATGACTAGCCATTTTGCCGCGGTGTTACTCGCTCTGCGAGGCTCCTATTTCATTCATTCATTTAACAATTTACATTGTGTCTGAAATTTACAATATATACAAAAACGAGACAAACACATTTACAAAAAAAAAAAAAATAATTGCACAAAGATTAAAAAATAATTGAATTTCATTAATGTACTTACATGGCCGCAAGTGCGATTGCAAGGGTAAAGGGTCTCGGGTTCGATTCCCGGGTCGGGCAAAGTATTACTGGTTAAAAAAAAAACTGTAATAGCGCGCAGTCGAATTCTATTCCACGGGACTCATAACATAATAGTGAAAAGATTAATTGTATTTTAGTGCTTGGCTTACTTAAGTATAGTCTCTATAATTTTATTTATAAGTTTCATTTTATGCAGATGTTGCTAATTGTTACGTGTTGTTGCTCTTCGCTGCAAATGTATTTTCGAGTATAATTTAAATTGATAAGCTGCTAAGTTGTATTTTATTAATTTTGAAATAAATCGAGTGTTAGAAGAAAGCGTCTTAACAATAAATAGAGGAAAATAAATGTAATTAGTAAAGTTCTTTGGCCACGCCCATTTATAGCCAGTTGTGTTACCAGTTCCAGGTGTAGAGAGCCAATTTCTAAATAGACTCATTTCTTTCTGTCTTGTGTACTAACAATTTTCGAGAACCAATAACTACAATAACCTCACAAGGATTTAATAAGGAAACATCCTGCTTGACAATTATCCACAATAATACTCACAAACATAAATATTAATATTCCATTATTATTATAATTAAATCTCCAACGCAATGCCATTTATTTGTTTATTGCGATTGCAATATTATATAATAACTCAAGGAACGCTAAAGCATATTTATTAATGCATTAATTTTTATTAGCCATTGCCTTATGACAGTAGTTTAAGTGCCGTTTCGTATATGTGACGTGTCTTTGTGACTATTCATAGTATTCTTATTTTATATTTAACTAGTTAACGGCCTGTTTGAATAATCTGTGTATGTGTTGATTTGTTTATTAAATAGAAATTTGACGTACTTCGTAGCTCCGTACAAAACTTGTCAAACACCTATCTTTAGTATGCCTAATCTACAGATAGATTATTAAAAGAGGCCGTAAGTCTCGGTTAAATTATTTATCTATGATCTATGTCAGGCATCGATGTAAAGTGATTTATGTTTTGTCCTGCAGTATGAGTGGCATGCCTGGTCCTAGTAAGCAGCCAGATATGGGCCCCGTGAACATGGCTCCCATGCCACCGACTACAGTGAGGACTAAGAAACGAGCCGCCATGGCCACATCGGTCGTCGCCATGGCTAACACAGCTTCTGCTATACGTAAGTACTTAAACACTGGCTGTTTCCGTCTGCTCGATATACTTAGGTCTGCCCAATAGCCGATTTAGTAGTTACTCTAACTTTTTGTTGACGCTGGAATTTGTATTATCAGATGCATCAATGTGATGTAAGCTAAAAGTGTATAGAAATATACTTCTAGTATCATTAGACATTTTTTCTTTCGCTTATCATGATTTTCTTGATGACGAAACAAGACCTGACACACACACACACACGACACGTGGCAAATCCATCTTATGTATGTGTAGTAATATTGTTCAGTTTTGTTGACACAAATCAATGAAACTTTATTTTTATTAGAACTAGTCTATTACTAGTTAAAATCTCACCTTCAGAATTATATACAAATTCTTATTTAGATTAAAAATTTACGCCTTCAATATAATCAACGGACCAATATGTAGATATAGCATAGCTTGGCTTACCTGACTTGTAATCATTTTCTCAGAGACAATGACAACGCAGACGTTGGCCAGCGTACGCCGTCAGCCACAGCCGACGCCGCCGCCGATCTACTCGGAGACTATCAAAGACTCGCCACCAAGCTCACCAAGTAAGGATTAAAATTCTATTACATTTAATGTTAAATGACTTTGATAACTGAGGAATGTTTAAAGACAGTAGTAGGAGGGTGTAGGGCTGCTGGTCTTCAGCAGGACAAGCCTTTACTTACAGCGGGTTTAACAAGGATATCAGAATAATAAAAAATAGCTAAAGCTAGTCTACATTGATAAAAGCAACCAAAACGATTTATGACACAAGCATGCAGGGACAGATTGATAAAAGTAAGAAGCGAAAGAAGCAAGAGAAGCCAGAAGGGTGATAGTGACAAGAAAAAATTTCGACTTCACTATAGGTACTATAACCGCGCTTACACTTATCTCTTAAGACAAACGCTGCCGCAATATTACCTTGAATAAAACACCATGGCAAATAGGAACCAACAAATCGCCACAGATACGTTATTTTTTCTGATATTTTCATATTTATGAACGTCCTCGTCTGCCGCGATCATTTACAAATTTGATAAGTAATCTCATTGGTAGTCATCTAGTAACCCACTTAATATAAAGGTCGATACGAATTGTTTTATTCATGGTATGCCATTATAATACGTGATTTTAATCGTATGTATGTTTCACGTTTCAGGCTCTGAAAGACCATTGAAGCCTAAGATGGAGTCCAAGTAAGTATTGTATTCTGCACTGTCTGCGATTTATTTATTTTTTATATTTTTTCGTGGTGAAGTGGCCATTAAGGAACCTCCTTTAGTATAGCACGAAGTGGAACAACTGAGTCGTCGGTGTTAAATGAAATATTTAACCTCTTTTCATTTTATTTTGTTTTAATTTTTGTAATTTTTTTCCCATTTTTATTATTTTACCTATCAAATTTTCTTAGACCTTTTACAATTCCTCCCAATTGTTTTATTGTATTGTTTCTTATTTTATTATCTCTCTTAAATAATTATATTATTTTACCAAAAATTTAAAGCAACATAATTATTTTAAAAAGTGATCTGTAGAGGCCGGGTACTAGTTAGCCTAGCCCTAGTTACTACAGCCACTGCGACTGATTGCTGATGAGGATATTCAATGCACAATGACTGACCCTCAGAACCTTCATGTATCCCAGGATCGGAGCTTCTTGTACCGCCCCACACATGCTAGGCAATGAGCTTAACCCTGAGAGCGGAGCGGCCGCTTGCCTTCAGGAACAGTTAACCGCTGAACTAGCCGCCCATGCCGCCGGTAGCGCAGGTGGAGATACCCTCATACCGCCACCGCTTATCAACAAAGCCGCGCCTGTAAGTTATATTTATTCAAAATATTAACACATATCATATTATGAACAGTTTTCTTCTAAATTTCTTTGTGCAGTTAGCGTCTAAAAGTAATTTTCTGGACACTCATGCGTGATTAAAGCGTTTCTATAGTCTCAAAGTCAGTTTAATAATTAACATTGTGTAAACTGTCGATGTTTGTCGATTACACTGCTGGATTATAAAGGGGTAGGCCATCATCATGATCTGTTACCGATAAGTAACAGTCAAAGAAACGTCAATATAATGTTCAATAAAATTACTGACGGCTTTCAATTACACGACTGAAACATTTGTTGGGGTAATAATCTGACGCTCACTGTATTACTCTTCACTATTCATCACGACTATCTATACATTCTTAACCAGGTACGTATATGTCATTGTAGAACAAGTTTTGTGCAGCAAACATTAAATAAATATGTTGATACAGGGCGGCAGTATCAGTTCGGGACGATCCTCGAGCGCTCAAAGCCTCGATCAGTTGTTGGAACGGCAGTGGGAACAAGGCTCACAGTTCCTCATGGAACAAGCCCAACATTTCGACAGTGAGTACACGTTATCATGCAATTCAGTATCTAGAGTAGACGCATTTTCAACTCTGATGTATTTTACATAAAGATCGTAATGAAACAGCATGTGGGTATTCATCCTCGTAAAACCACATGCATGTTTTTTTTTTCAATATATGTGCATATTTTTGCGCATGTATTTTCGTCGTAGTTACTTTTATTATTTATTAATGTATTTTTCATGTTCCTAAATGTTTGATATCTGTTTTTTATTTTCCCCTTTGTATTTCCCTTGAGTTAGACACAGTACTTTGCAACTATTATGAAACATTGAGCATCAGAAAAGGACGAGAATTCCAGAGCAGCTCTGTCGATGTTGATAGGTTACTTTCTTCCAACCATTCGCTTGATTGTAGAGAATTAGAGCTGTCTACTACCCTTGATTATGTTCTGCTGTGCGTGGCATCCCTGACCACAAAAAAGTTTTAATTTTTGTTAGCTGGTAAGTAACTGGTCGTAGTCAGCTGTAGTGCAAACCTCGTCATTCTGACAGATCTATTAAAATTTTATTTGTAATGTTAGTTCATTTATTTGTGGTTTATCTGTTCTCATCGTTAATCAATAGTAAGTCAAGAAGCAACAATTTCGCATTTGTCATTAAACGTAAATATAAAAAAATATTGTTAGCATTGTACCAAAAAAGTAATTTTGTAAGCAACTCATTAATGTATTTGTAAATCGACTAATCTAATTACCTATAGACTTGACAAAATGAAACCACCAACAAATAACTAACAGTATTATGATGGAATTTCCTAGTAAAGCCACAGAAATTTAATTATTTCACCAATAAGCAAACGTAGTTTATTTGCCAGCTCACTTTTGATCCCAGCTAATTTAAAATGCAATTAAGGCGAATGCTTTACGTTAAAATTGTACGCAAAATAATATTAAGTTCACAAAATGTTTCAGTAATAGTAAGAAAGTATGTTGATAATTATGACATGAAAAGCATACTCCTTAAAGAATATTTTTCATTTGCATACAATAAAGTATTACTAGTATCATATCAATACTTGCCCATTCTTTTGTAACGCAAACAAAAGGAAATTATACATAACATCTCCCAATTGGCATTGTATTTACAAATTACCCAAAATTTGTTTGTTAAAAACCATTATTGTATCCGAATAAAATAGAAATTACAAAAAATGGGTATGAAGTTATTGAAATAAAGAGTCAATTTCACAAGTCTTGAACAAATTCGTTAGAATTTAACATGCATTTCATTCCGATTTAGTTCCACTGTTTTATCTGGTGGATAATTGACTAGACTGTGAAATTGGCCGTCAATGTCGCATTGATTGTTGTGGAACTAGCAACGAGATTATATGCAACGTTGTTATTCGCTGCATGCTCTATGAGCAATGCCTATCTAAGGTAGAAAGCATTATATGTGTAATCAGCATCCACTTGCTAAGGCTTTGTTACCATATAACGCATCATCAAGCTCGTAAGTTGCTTGCATACTTCTAGCTCATACAAATAGAAGTTTCGTCCACAATACAGAAAAATAAAAGTTTGTTGAAGCAACGTCATTCATAACGATCACCTTTTTAACGTGTATGGAAACAAAGACTTAAAACTATTTAAGTGGTAAGACGATATCAAAATGGATATTTCATGTGATGTACCATAAACGATTCGTGTTAAATACACAGGTATAAATAAAGCGACATAATTATTGTCCCAAACAGAAATATACCGTTTGATATCGGCTAGAATCTATATAACAGAGCATCGCATCACTTCGACTGGCAGTGTAAATCAGTGTCTAAGTACGTGCAACTTGCTTACAAATGTTGGTGTTGTTTATAGAATTAAGACGAGAAGAATGCTCCTATTGATCGTCTAATACAGAATAGTAAGTGTCTATCTATGTATAAATATAAACATTTTCTTTTTACTGTAAAACTTATTTAATTCGTTATTACAATATCACGTAAGTAATTTCATGCTTCTTAATAATCTGTATATTTCTGCTATATTCGTTTTAAATATAATCAGAAGCGTAAAAAGAAGAAATAGCGAATTAAATGGTTGTAGCTTGAGTACAATGTGTGCGGTGGGATATTATCTACAGTATTTTGTATGCAGGTGCGCTGCGCTATCGTCCTTATGTTAGGCGCCAAACGGCGCTCATGGAAGCGGCCGGTGAGTATGAAGAACGGGTTCCACCACAAAATTAAAATGGAAAAGAAAAACGACGACAGATGAGATGTGATACTATTCTATCTTTTTCTTAAAGCCGATGTTTCACGATGTTTGTAAAGTACTGTAGGTTGTAGATGGTCCATGATTTAAGTTTAAAAGTGATAATGTGTCGTTAATGAAGATACGTGTGTACAGTCGCATCGCTGTTGTCATGCCTGCACCAGCTGCGCACTGAGAATGTTCGGTTGGAGGAACATGTAGGCAGCCTGCTGCAGCGCCGAGACCATCTGCTCGCGGTTAACGCTCGGCTCGCAATCCCACTCACTACTGGTACGTTGAATATTCCAAGTAATATAAGGAAATCTTAACAATGTTTTAGAAAATCTTAGTCACGTTTAATCTCTAGTTCTTGATATTTTTAGTTATTCTCTGATTGATATTATTGAGATCTTGGATTTTATTTGTGTTAACTGAGTACAATTTGTTGACGAATGATTTCTTAAAGGTTGTTAAGGTTTTTGTTTTTCTTTTCTTTTTCTTCTTTTCTTTGATTGCTTATTTTTATGATTTATTACTTTAGTTTTTCTTAATTTAATTATTATAACAGTTTTTTACTTTTTTCAAAATTTCTTCTAAGTTATGTTGTTTTGCTACATTTTATTATTACTATTCGTTTTATTTCTTTTATAATGTTCGATGTTTTGTGAACATTTCTGTGTTAAGACATTTTGAAAAATCTTTGTAGATTTTTCTATTCCTACTGTTGTCTCTCTCACCATTAAACGTAATAGTTTGGTAAGTTTAAATTTAAGGCCTTTGTAAATTTACATGTAATAAATAAAAATAAAAAAAGTCATTTTAGTATTCAAAATTATATGAGAATAAAGTGTTTTCAATAAAGAGACCTCATTATATTTTTACATTAAAAGGATATATGCTTTATATTGCTTCTTATTACACGCGCTACTTATTGTTATGACCTCGTTCTTATCAAAGTCAAAAACATTTATTTCAATCAGACCAATACTCATAAGGCACTTAAAAATCAAACAAAATATAAAGTGTCAATCTGTCGGTCAGTCCTCGAGTAAATCTGTTTGCTCGTTCCAAAGTGTAGATTCCTATGGAGAAGATCGAACAAGCAATTTTATGGTTGCTCTCTTATGTTTTAATTATCTTATATTGATAACAAAGCTATTATAATCATGATGTTTTGTAATACTATTTTGAAGAAGCATTCCTAAATTATACGCTGTATTCGAAATTGTGTTCAATTCTCTCTGATTAAAACACTATTTCCAAACCATAAGTGATAATCAAAATTAGCAACAGCATAATACCTAAATGTGTTTGTTCTATAACAGTTCCAGGTTGAAAACTGGTGCGTACTGACATGTCAGGAAAATCATCAAGTACTTTGATACATAAATTGCTTTTATTTTCTTTCATTCGTGATACACTCGATTTTTGAAAGGCTGATTAACTAAATTGTACTTCTACTTTTTAAAGTATTGATTGCTAACGTTACATTTATCGACAGCCTTTCGAAAACCGAGCGTAAGTATAGAAATTAATATGTTTTTTTGCTGAAACTGTCGCAGAAATGGTACTAGGAGAGAGATGTACGAATTCAAGTGATGTGCCATTGCGTAGTGACGACTGGCCCGCCCGAGCCGAGCCGGTGCACGCGCGAAAATGGCCCGCAGATGATGCAGGTGCGGCCGCCGCCGCCGCCAGTGCGCGCCGCCGAGACTATCACCTCGGACCGCCCACACCAGGTATGAGACGGCCACGTCCGGCCTAGGGAAGCACAAATTACTTATGTTACAGTGAATTTTTCAACAATTCCCATCCAAATTTATATTGCTATAAATTACTGAATATAAATTCATGTCCTGGCCTATTTGAACGTATACCGTGTTAAAAAATTCACTCGAAGAGAAAGGCTGAAACATGGTGCACACCGCACATCACTACGTGCTGCCCCAGTTTCAGTAAACATATTCCCTCGTGGCTCCGCACTTTATTAAATTAGTTGGTTTTCTGAAACAAAACAGAAGCTTGCCAGAAATAATTGGTCTCAATTTATTGTCATACAAAAGTTAACTAATCTATAAATTCTCACATCGGCCCGAGGGAACTACAATTGAATATCATCCATAACTTCATGTAATTTAGTAAGTAATTTGATATAGAGACTGCCATCTTTTCCCCATTCATACGGTAGTGTAACATCATTAGATTTTAGTTCTCCCTAGCCGTTAAATATTTTAGCACCCCTTTCATTGCACAGATAGATGTTTTGTTCAATATTTTTTGTGCATAGTTTCCAATTTAATTGTTGTGATTTACTTTGAAGCAAACTGCAGTTTATGATGATGACATTGCTACTTTCGGATAACTTCTTTACTTCAAGGGATTATGTTACAACTAAAAAGAGATTTAACTAACGAGGAGGCTCATGGTCATATTTATGATTAACCCACGTTTTATAGTAAACAGAACTCAACAATCCCTATAAGTCTGCTAGCTAGGTAATTATACAATCTGCCCTTCGGATAATGTAGTGTTACTGACTACATCAATAATGTAGTTCCAATCTCAAACAACTGAGGTTTATACGAATTAGTATGAGCTATTCACTTATAAGGGACGAAAAGTAAACCAAGACCTTTAGAATACCTGGCGCAATTCTCGTAATATCGAAACACATCGAAATTGAATAAAAGTATTTTAAAAAACCTACTTTTTATACCTTAGCTTACCTATTTTTGAGACACGTTTCTTTGCTATAAGTTTTTTGAACCATCACCTTTTATGTCAGTAAATTTTGAACAGTATTAGACCGGATTCTGGCAATCTCTACCAAAGATTTAAATGAAATTAACGAAATTTGCGTTATTTTGGTCTGGTGGAGCACAGTCTGGCTGAACCTTTCTCTTCTGTGGGGAGGAGGCTTACTTAGCGCCTGGTACGCGACTGTAAAATAGAACGTAACTCACGCGCTACCGACTAATTAGCTCACGCGCTTAACGCGCTTGGCGCAGTCTATAGATGCTTAGCTTGCAGCTTGCCCAGCAAACTAACCAATTGTAAATAGATGGCCAGGCCCCAGGCGCTAAGCAGCCGCCTCGTAGTGCTGCCTTAGGTCGGCTCTGTGCCCATCGTGGGCTAAATCTGTAATCTATGGGTTCAGAACAATGACATTGGTATGGCCTTTTCCAGGCACTCTCATTTATAGAAGACCTAACACGGGACGTTCCAGAGAGATCAACCGTGGTACTAAAAATTAACATTGCTGTATTAACAGTAGGGCTGTCCCTTCTTGAAAATTAAATATTTCAATTCATCAGTTTACCAATAAGGGCTATTACCCTTTGGTTTATGAACATTGTCTTAACATGTTGAAAAAAATAAATGAAGATTTAATTCTACCAAATTCTCACACTTTACGGAGACTTATGTCCATTTTCATCAACCTCTCCTAAATTTATTGGAACTCTTAAGCGAATATAGGTGACACTTAAAATAATTTTTGGTTTCACTAACCTATAAGTGACTCCTTACACTCCAAGTAAGGGGTTGGTTTAGGTGGTCGTCGCGGAGTGACTCATATTTGAGTGACAGTTTAGGGGTGGTTGGTGGATACGGCCATAAGTGAGATGTCTAAATCAGAACTCAGTACAAATTGATGTCATGACGACTGCACTTGACCGATAGTCAAAGTTTCCAAATTTTTTCTTAAAAAATTATTTGATTTATTATAATTTAACCCCTCCCCTTCATTTAATACGCTTTTAAACATCACCCACCCGCTCTTCGCCGACTTAGGCCACCGAGATGATACGGTATTATAATTCATTTTTTTAATCCAAATATTTTACTTTCTGTATTATTTTGTTAGTTAAAGCATCCGCTTTGCGTGCCATGGAACATAGTAAATAATGCTTCTTATTTAGTTATAAGCATTAAAACTAGTTTATTTTTGTTTCATTGATTTAAGTTTTAATTGCTCGAGCGACCAGACTGTTACTTAGTTTTATTATTTGCTACACGCGTACATTGTTTAGTATGTGAGATAGCCGCTTAGAGATTGCAACAGTATATGTCTGAACTCCAGATTATTGCTGGTGCTAATATGGCATGCTACAGTTCAATGTAAGCCACACTGTAGCAATACAAACATACACTACAGTGTTGCCATCATGTAACAGTTATATTCCTCTCAGGTTCCTACGAATACATCACAAAAACATTAAAATACTGAACTGTGATGTTAATATAAGAAAACGTTTAATAGTTAGTTATTTTCAAAATTATTAAGTTCACGGATTATATTTTTTCAATTATTTAAATTCCATTTTATTCTATATTTCGTTCTTTCTATAGTTTTCTAAAGTTTCCGATACCCTGAAACGAATATAATAGAATCGAGCTCTAAGTGTACTGCTCTATGTATTTATTGTGATGTGACTTGATTACATGTGAGTACAGATGTAATTGAATTGTTTTAGCTTATAATGCGTGAGGTGCAGCAGAAGCCCAGCTGAAAGGAAGAGGGTGGCGGCGGAGGCGGCGGCGATGCTGCCGTCCCGGGGCCGTCATCGGCCAATCCGGCAGCGCTGCACACCGTTCAAACTTTCATAATGCTCGAGCAACGACGCAGGGTCGATTTCTCCATCGACTCCATCCTCAAGTTGAACAACTAAATCGTAGGCGCGCTCGCTTTTAGAAGCCACATTGAATATTACGTTGTTCTAGGACAAGGCTTCTACTGCAAGTATAAAGTGCGTCTGCGTTGTTAGCTCGTGAAGGAGCAATGTTGTTGCGCGGCTCCAACTCAATGCCACCACCCGCTATAAGGACTCAGCTCGACGCCCGTCGGCTTACGGACGATCTAGTGTTCCAGCTCCGCGGAGCTGTAGTACACTACTAGAGTTAAAGTTCTTAATGTTAAACTAGATTAACGCACGGTGTGTGTTATATTTTTGGGCAGTTTCAGCGTTTATACGTCGTGTCGAGGTTGATATCTTGAATGCTGATGGTCTACTACAAAAGTACGAAACCGATGCTTATAGTGTTATATAAATTGTTTGCACAATGTCTATCGTAAAGTACTTTTTAAGAATAAGTGTTCAAGTTTCACATACGCTTTTGTATGATACGGTTTCTCGAGTTGCCAACTTTTTTTGCCCGATTGTTAAGTGGCGTCCTGTTCGGACCAAAGTTGGTGACGTTCTGCTTTATCTGTAGAATTCATTGCGGTATGTGCACGCCGCAGCTCTGGTTGGTACTTTGGTATAGATCTCAGGTCACGGCACCACCGACTGAGTAGATTATGCGAAGTGCGGTTTATTCTATAAGTGTTATTGTATATTCGACTGGATTAATATCTTGAATCTATTTGAATTGTCTGTTCTTTTGAACGACGCATGCGATTAAATGTTTACTTAGAATTAAGTACTAAAACTATATGTGTATGTACCTAGGTATGAATATATAATGAGGTAGGAAGTCACTTTCTACTAATTAAAGATTGAAATTAATGTTCCAAGGAGGATTATGTTCCTCCGCTGAAGTCCAAGAATGAAATTTGTTTACTGGGGATACTGAACATTTTGTGTATGATATGAATAAAGTAATAGATTATGTAGCTCTGAAACGCGAATTGATGGAATATATTGGAGACATTGGCCTGGACGCGTTGGGAATGATTACAAACGGGACTGTTACACATATTGATGCATGTTTAAATTATTTATTATAAAAATAGTTTAATTGTGTGTTAGTGGTTAATTGTATATGAATAATCTTGATGAATATTTACAGTATTTCGGTTTATGACCGGCACACGGCTTGGTAATAAATAGATGTTCTTTGATGATAATGTCCGTGCACAAAGCAGGGCCGTGTTCGTATAGCAGTGTATGTTATAAATATATCCTATCACTTGTAGTTGTAAGGTCAAAGCATGGATTTAAATAATAATAGAAGTAATTCTCATATTCGATGTTCTTGGTCGTTTCCTATGTCTGTGTTAGATGCGTAACAATAGTTATAATGGTGTCTAGCGCGAGACGCAACCTATTTGTTGTCTGCGCCACATACTGTTGAGGTACACGACACGGCCCTAACCTACTACAACACCTATTTATTTCTTAACATAGTTAACGAGCACAGATTCAGTATTTTATATAATTAATTCACGATGTGATAGAGTACGTTCCTTAATATTGTGTATAGCGTTTGGCTCAGATTAATATGTTGTGGGGTAAATATTTACTACGGTTTTCATACCGATCCTTGAGGCGTGACGAACATTTTACTGAAGGTATAGGATCGAGTGTTTGTTGTGTGGAATGTTGACGCTCGATATGAGGATATGTGCTGGCAGGATCCGGCCAATAAGAGCTTTTCCTCTAATTCGGCACCGGAACGGCAATCTCAAATCGCTGTGAGGTGCCTTCGTGCCGGTGGCGTTAAATACGCCCATTGACTGCTCTGTTCGTCGCGTACAATACGTAACACCCATTATTATATGGATGTTTTATAAGTCATTATATTACCGTTGTCTCACTTAACTTAATCGAATCAATGTATCCATTATATTGTCATAATATATGTTGAATGTTGTTGATCGATGTACAACTATTATATCTCGATGTTGAATGTTAAGTGGACTAATATTTGTTCCAAGATATCGATATTAAATGTTTGATCTATTAGTACTCACCTACTTACCAGGCCAGTCACTCCCTTTGGTCACTGGGGCCGTCTCATAGCTTCTCCTCGCTGAAGTAAGGGCTTCCTGTGTTGTCCATGCAGTTTTAATGCAGCTGTAGTTAAATCAGTATAAATTATATGCGTTGTTGATAAGTCGATGTTGTTAGTTCGCATAAAGATGTTATGTGTCGCGGTACGGTGAGGATGCCACAGACGTTGATCTCGTTCTACTTAGCCTCGTGACACATGAGCTCTTGATGCATCCTCAAATAATATTAAATGGTTAAATGTCAGTTTGTAAGATCTTCAATCACTGGTGTAGTTCCTTCCTTTCCCTCTCTGGGATAGTATTTATGAAGAAACTTATAGAACTAGAGTTTCTTCAAGACGGCTCTAATATTCACTTCTAGTTTCACTAATATGAATCAGCTTAAACGTATTTACATTTTTCAAAACTAACTGAAATCTGATAGGTATCTCCCAGTATACTGAAAGACTATTTCAAATTATACAACAATCTAATTTTAAAATTTTACTCGTATTGTATTATTTTATGTTTCAAATCATAAAAGTTTTAAGTTTAACGTTTTAATATTTATGTGAAGCGGTAACTGAGAAGTAGTTGCATTTCACGTCAATATTTTAACGTTATTCTACGCATTATCGAACTGATAAATTTGACTTTCATTTTAATTGTTGGCGACTATTGTCACTTTCAAATAAACTATAAATCTCAAGTATTTTGATAAAAAAAATATTATAATCAATCGATTTTAAAACTAAAATTTTAATCAATGTTTTCAAAATAATTATATAATATACCTATAATAATGTTATATTCTTCCTCTTGGAATAAAAACATAGCGGCGTTTCTGCAAATAGAGAGTATCTTTTATTTCTAAATGAAAACATTTACATAAAACATTGAGTAGGTAATTATATCTTACCTGCAAATAAAGAGGAAGCAACAAATAATGTTTTTACTCCATTTTATTTTACAATAACGCAAACTGACATTTTGAATGTCAAACCACTCAGCATAAAGTAACGACATCTAAGTGAAGTCGTTTTCTTTATGTACTTAACAAGAATTTTATAGAATTTTAACTACGTTTTAACAAAATATATAACAGTTATGACATTGAAAATTTATGCCGATTTGAAACATAATTTATTCTTGATTAATAAACATTGTTTGAACTGAAGGTGTGCAATATTTTCAGGGGATAAGCAGAGGAATGTAATGGAAGGAATAGAAAATGCTAAACTAGACCTTTGCAACTAGGATATTAATATAATGTTCCTACTTAATGAAATAATAATCATTATTTGTCTTGATTCTCGTTCTGCTTGGGGGCTGTTATACAAATGATAAAGTTTAAACAATGCTTATTAGTTTTTCCGTAATCAACAGTGTATATTGAGGTACGCTTCATTTCAAAGCGAATAATACTTTTGTTGTAAATTATGTTGTTTTAAGTATTTTTAAGTTTTACGCATTAAGTATCAATGTTTTTTAACCGAATGGCGTGGATACGAGGTTCATCACGTTTTGCGTGCTAATGTAAACACCCTAGATTTAGTTTCGTTGAGACTGGTTTAAAGAGCAGTGCTCATGTTTTAGAAAAGTGGGGCATGCAGGTTAAATGGAATAATACCATTTCATTAGTCTGGTGCACGTTTCGTTTGCTCAGTGCAGTCTACAAAGAGTATTTTAATGCATACCTTTTAGCACTAAGCTCGGCCTACTGCCCAATGTAAACGAGACGGACTATGAGCCTCTCCATCTAGCGCGAGGGTTTGGTAAATATTTTCCTAGGATAGTGCGCTTAGACCATTGTAAACTTCAAACGAAGTGATCTCAGTCGATAGTACTGATATTTTACGAAATCATATTCCTACTGATGCTTGTACTATAGAAATATGATCTCGTTTTTGAGGGAATCGTAACGAAAATTAAGGACTGATTGTTTATAATTAGTTTTAATTCGTTATTTTGGTTACATATGCAAATTTTATTTAGGTACTACCAACTCAATGTCATGCTCTTAGTGATTACAAAATCCTATTGCATTTATTGGATCTATCAATTTCAGTCAATTACGAAATGTAATAGAACCTTAATAAATCACTACACAAATGTGGCTGTTTTATTTGTCTACGACATACTTGCCTTATTTTATTTCTTTAGTTTATTAACTGCTTCACGGGTTTGTAAAATACTCATAGCACGACGGGTAAGATATAGAGTTGCTAAAAATATTCATTACCTAATTATTAATTCCACATCATCAGCAGTATTGTTTCTAAGTTCAGAAAGCAGTAGGAGACTTACTAGGACTGCTGCATAGACATATATTATGTTTACGATTTGTTCTGATGTGGACGATATTGAAATAGCGAGTATTGTGCACACCTGAATTCCAACAGCAAATTAAGCATATTTTTGAAAATATCAACCGCTGATTTAATTATTTATTTTATTATGAAGCCCGAATAAAAGTTTAATTGCAAGATGCTTGGAAGTTATATTTTAAAGTGACTGCACGTCATAACAAAATGAATGAGAAAATAAATACTACACGTTAACTTTGTTTTGGTTAGAAACCCTAACCACTCTAACGTCCGGGCCGCGCGACCGTTTATCTCTAACGTCCAGCTGCGCGCGGCGTCCGAACCGCGCGCGACTCGCAAGTTCGTCGTAACAAAAAACCTCTATAGCTACTGAACCGTAATGGCTAGAATAAAGAAAAAAATACCAAAAAAAAGATTGAAGAATACTGATCAATCTTAACGATTTTTTTTAAATCGTAAGTTATAATCTTTG